GGCCTCTAGTCAAGGCCTCAGTCAAGACGGCAGAGTAAAACAAAAAAAGCAAAGCTTTATTACAAAACTCTATCTTGCACTTCCCCAAGCTCCTAGTAATCTAATTTGCTTTCTGTCTTTATGGATTTACCTATTCTGGATATTTCAGGTAAATTAAATCATATGAAAATGTGATCTTTTGTTTCTGGCTTCTTTATTTAGCATAGTGCTTTGAAGGTTATCCATGTTGTGATCTGTACCAGTATTTCATTCTTTTTATGACTGACTACTACTCCATGATATGGTTATATCACATTTTGTTTAGTCATACAACAATTGATGGGCACTGGAATAATTTTGCTTTTTGTCTATTGTAGACAGTGCTGCTAAGCACATTTCTGCACAAGGTTTTGTTTTGTAACATCAGTATTCAATTCTTTAGGGGTATATATCTTGGCTTGGAGTTGCTAAAGCATATGTTAATTCTGTTTTACTTTTTTAGGAAACACCAAGCTGTTTTCTACAGCAGCTTCACCATTTTACATTCCTACCAGCAAAGTACAATGGTTCGAGTTTCTCTACATCCTCACCCAAACTGGTTATTTTACACCCCATTTTTAATTTCATCCTAATGGGCATGAGTAGCTATATCATTGTGGTTTTGGTTTACATTTTCCTGATGGCTAATGATGTTGAGCATTTGTCCTTTCATGTGTTTGCTGCTCATTTCTGTCTTTCAGAGATATATCTACTTAAGTTTGTCCGTTTTAAAATGGAGTGTTTATCTTTTTTAGTTGCTGAATTATAAAAGTTCTTCATATATTCTGGGTACTACATGTTTTTAAGATGTCAGTAGTACCCAAAGCTATCTTCAGATGAAATGTAACCTCTGATGAAGTCTCAAAGAGCTCTTTGCAGAAATGGAAAAGCCTATTTTAACATTCATATAAAATTGCAGGGGGTGTTCTAAGGTAGCCAGAACAGTCTTGAAAAGGAAGAGCACCTTAGAGAACTCACACTTTCTGATTTTAAAACTTACTACAAATCTGTAGGAAGATATATTAATATAGAATTAGTATATATATTAATACAATAGTACTATATAATTAGTATATATTAGTATGAAATTAATATATAATTAGTACATACTTTAAAATAAAATTATATGTAATTTGCAATATTTTCTCTCATTCTGTAGGCTGTCTTTTTACCTTTTTGGTAGTGTATTTAGCTGTACTAAAGGTTTTAATTTTGATGAAGTCCAGTTTCTCTACTTTTTCTTATGTTGCTTATGTTTTTAGTGTCATATCTAAATCCATTCTCAAATTTTAGGACATAAAGATTTATCCACAAGTTTCCTTTTAAAGAGTTTTATACTTTTAGTTCTTACATGTAAAGTTATGATCCATTTTGAATTAATTTTTGTATGTGCTAGGAAGCAGAGGTCCAACTTTAGTCTTTGAATGCATGTAGATATCCAATGTCCCAACACCATGTGTTGAAGAGACTACGCATTTCAACAAATGGTCTCAGCACCCTTGTCAAAATCAACTAACCACAGATATACTGGTTTATTTCTAGAATCTCAATACTACTCCACTGAACTACTTTCCTGTATTTATTAAATGCCACTCATTTTTGCTTCTTAAAGTTTTGTAGTTAGTTTTGAAATCAGAAGCAGTGAGTTCTCTAACGTGTCCTTCCTTTATAAGACTGTTTTGGCTATTTGTGACCTCCTGAAATTTCAAATGAATGTTAGAACAGGCTTTCCCATTTCTGTAAAAAGCTCTTTGAGACTCTGTAGGAAACTCCATTTAATCTGAAGATAGCTATGGGTACTACTGACATCTAAACAATATTAAGTCGAATCTGTGAACATGGGTTACTTTTATATTCATTTAACTCTAATTTAATTGATTTCAGCAAAATATTATAGTTTTCAGTGAACAAGTCTTTCAGCTTATTGGTTAAATTTATTCACACTTAATCATTTTTTGATGGTATTCAAGAAAACTGTTTTGTTAACTTCATTTTTGTATTGTTCACAACTAGTATATGAAAATACAACTGAGTTTTGTATTGAGCTTGAATCTGCAACTTTGTTAAACTTTTTTTTAGCCCTATAGTTTGTTTTGTGATTCTTCACAATTTTCTATATAGAAGAATGTGTCTTCTGCAAATAATTTTACTTCTTTTTCAGTCTAGATCCTTTTATTTATTTTTCTTGCCTATCTGCTTTATTAAAAGATCATTGATTTAAATGTCAATCTCATCCAAAAAAAACTTCACAGAACACTTAGAATAATGTCTGATCAAAACCTGAGCATCCTGAGTTGGACCATAAAGAAATCTGAGCACTGAGGAATTGATGTTTTTGAATCGAGGTATTGCCAGAAAACTCTTGAGAGTCCCTTGGACTGCAAGGAGATCCAACCAGTCCATCCTAAAGGAAATCAGTCCTGAATATTCATTGGAAGGACTGATGTTAGAGCTGAAACTCCAATACTTTGGCCACCTGATGCAAAGAACTGACTCACTAGAAAAGACCCTGATGCTGGAAAAGTTTGAAGGTGGGAGGAGAAGGGGACGACAGAGGACGAGATGGTTGATGGCATCATCCACTCAATGGGCATGAGTTTGAGTGAGTTCCAGGAGTTCATGATAAACATGAAAGCCTGGGATGCTGCAGTCCATGGGGTCGTGAAGAGTTGGACACAACTCTTTGAGTAAAGTGAACTGAACCCATTCAGAAGTGTGATCTTCAACAACTCTGCTCCCCCTCCCTAGGCAATATCTACTCCACTAAGGACTTCCGTGGTGGTTCAGCCGGTAAAGCGTCTGCCTACAATGCGGGAGACCCAGGTTCAATCCCTGGTCGGAAGATCTCCTGGAAAAGGAAATGGTAACCCATTACAGTATTCTTGCCTGGAAAATCCCATGGACGGAGAAGCCTGGTAGGCTACAGGCCATGGGGTCCCAAAGAGTCAGACACGACTGAGCAGCTTCACTTTCACTTTTATCAGGGAGAAACACACTAAAGTTATTACTTTAGGGATACCAATTCACACACCTATTGACAAAATTTAAAGTATCACAATAAAACCTTGACAAAAATGTGAGGTGTATCAGTTAGAATTGGGTTTGGTTGTAGGAGAGATAAGTCAAATAAACAAGACGGCAGTTTCTTTTTTTCTCCCCGAAACAGATACACGGCTTCTTCTGCCTTTCTATTCAGCCATCTTGGACACTGGCGTCCATTCTCAAGGTCGCCCTGTGCTATAAAATGTAAGGCAGAACTGCAGCTGCATATCGGGGTTGCTGTAAGTTTACAAAATGGCTTAATACAAAAGTGTGGCTTCTGACTGAGTCTGTCAATTTCAGAAAGCTTTCCTAGAAAAACTCTGTATAACTACTATCTACATCTCATTAGAAATACCATGAGTAAAGGCAAATTGAGAAATGACCTTTACCCTGACATACTGCCATCCAACTAAAGGGGGCTACTTGTGTTTTGTTCAGTCACTTAGTTGTGTTCAACTTTTTGCGACCCCATGGATTGCAGCATGCCAGGCTTCCCTGTCCAGTGTTAAATAAGGGGTCTATTATGATGAAAAAAGCATACTGCTAGGACCCTTGTTCACAGTAGATAAATGGGACATCTCCAGCACTGCTACTACTTTAAGAATATAAACTGTGAAAGACACTCTGGAGAGCAGTGTGATTTTAACTAATGAAGTTGAAAATGTATATAACCCAGGACTCAGTAAATACTCCACTAGATATATAGCCAAGAAAAGTTCACATGCACAAAAAAGGAACATGATCAGGGCTCCTTACTGTTTATAGGCAAATCAGCACTGTAGCTAAATACGGGAAACAATACACAAGACCAGAGATATCTATTTGGTGGAATTGGAAGTAAAATGAATGGAATATATCTGTGTATATCAATAGTAGCTGGAGCTCCAGAATAATGCGAGATTAAAAAGTAAATGGCTCAGTTGGTAAAGAATCCACCTGCAATGCAGAAGACACTGGTTTGACTCCTGGGTCAGGAAGATCCTCTGGAGAAAGGATAGGCTACCCACTCCAGTATTCTTGGGCTTCCCTGGTAGCTCAGATGGTAAAGAATCTGCCTGCCACGTGGGAGACCTGGGTTTGACCCCTGGGTTGGGAAGGTCCCCTGGAGGAGGGCATGGCAACCTACTCCAGTATTCACATCTAGAGAATTCCCTTGGACAGAGAAGCCTGGCAGGCTACAGCCCGCCAGTAGGAGGAGCCTGGCAGGCTACAGTCCATGGGGTCACAAAGAGTAGTACACGACTGAACAATTAAGCACAGAGCAAACAAAAAACTTTACAGAAAGTTACAGAATGTTTGATAATATTAAAAACAACAGTATGGAGTGTACATAAGTTGCATATGTGTGTATAAAATTATTCAAATTTTGCCTGGAAACAGAAGTTCATGATGAAGTTATCTTTTGGAGAATGATGAAGGAAAATGGAACAAATAAAGAGACATTCAATGACTTAATTTACTAACTTTAAATGATCAAGAACAAACATGACACAAAATTAAATTTGTCCATTTAGTGGCCATAATAAACGATTTATTTTTCTATGATATGATCCCACAAGAGGAGATTAAATGTTAATCATTAAAAAGATTTTACATGTCGGTTATATGTTTTCATTAAGAATGAAGATATAGTATACTTACATTCTTTCTCAGTTCAATTTACAGCTTCAAATAATACTATATTGTTTAAAATCTCCAAAATCATATTAGTAGACTGACTAAATACAATTAATATTCTTAAGTTTAAACATAAGGAAAGAAAACACACTTTAAATGAATATCAGTCAACTGTATTGATTGATAATTTCTTAAAAAGATAAATAGTAAGCCAATTTTCAATGAGAATGAAACCTTTCAAGGTATGTTAACTTCTTAGAGCTGAAATTCTTACAATTAAGAAACAATCTGTAAAATGCACAGCCATTCTTTTATTCACTTACCTCAAATTTTTTCTGGTAATATTCCCTCAGAGATGTAAGTTCGTGGTCTCGCTTTGCAAGCAGTAGGGGTTGATGTTTAATCATATAGTCTATGTCTGCTTTAAGCTTTGCATTAGTTTCTGCTAATTTCTCCTTTTGCTCTTCCAGATGTTTTCGTTGATGAGTTTTATCTTCAAAATGCCATCGTAGTTCTATTATATCTCTCAAATAGGCCTCATGTTCTAGACATACAGTGAAAGGACAAAAAGAAAATCTAAATTTAAAACAAAAACTCCAGGAGGAAATCTTTGTTTGATAGTAGATATGAAATATGAATATAAAAAAGCAGAGGTATTATTTTGCCAGCAAAGGTCCATCTAGTCAAGGCTATGGTTTTTCCAGTAGCTATGTATGGAAGTGAAAGTTGGACTATAAAGAAAGCTGAGCACCGAAGAATCGATGCTTTTGAACCATGGTGTTGGAGAAGGCTCTTGAGAGTCCCTTGGGCTGCAAGGAGATTCAACCAGTCCATCCTAAAGATCAGTCCTGGGTGTTCATTGGAAGGACTGATGTTGAAGCTGAAACTCCAATACTTTGGCCACCTGATGCAAAGAATGGATTCATTTGAAAAGACCCTGATGCTAGGAAAGATTTAAGGAAGGAGAAGGGGACCATAGAAGATGAGATGGTTGGATGGCATCACCAACTCAATGGACATGAGTTTGAGTAAACTTCAGGAGTTGGCGATGGACAGGGAGGCTTGGCATGCTGCAGTCCATGGGGTCGCAAAGAGTCAGACATGACTGAACAACTGAACTGAACTGAACTGATGAGATATTTTAGTTTCAGAAATTACTTGTTTTTTATTTTTATGTTTCGACCATGCCGTGTGGCATGTGGGATCCTAGCTCCCCAATCACAGATGGAACTCATGCTCCCTGCAGTGGAAATGCAGGGTCTAAACCACTGGGCAGCCTGGGAAGTCCTTAAATTATTTTAGTATTCCTTCATTCACCATCAAAGGGGTTAAAATACAAAAATCAGTTGAAATTATAAAAATAATAATTCATAAAAATCAATGTTAACATAAGAAACAATGTTTATCCACAAAAATAAATCTTACAGTGAAATCAGAATGATCTCACACAGCAAAACAAAGACAAACAAAAATGCACAGATCTAGTGACAGACATAACATGAGTACAGCATGGCCTAGAGGAAGAAATGACAAAATGTTCTCAAATAACAGAAATGGGAATTTGAATAAATGGATAAAAAATTTTTGTTCCATATAAAAATATCTGAAATGATACATATGGAAATTTCTTTTAAATAAAATAAAAACAAATTATAAATTAAATTAAATGTCAATTAACAGATTAGGACAATTTTAGAGAAACTACATAAAAGATTTCCTCATTATATCATTAAATTTCTAAGGTTAACCTAACCTTGATCTCTTGGAATAAAATTCAATTGGCTACCTTGGGGATCTTTTCATCTTTCTTAAAATAAACTTCTTGGTGGGTTTTGGTGTTGTATTCACTGAGGATACTTTGCATGTATGCTAATGATTTTGGCCTGTAATTTTGCATATTTGTATGTATTAATCTAATTTGCTTTACAATTTATGCTAGCATCTTGTATCTGTTGTAGTTTCTTTTATTTCTGTTCTCTATGATTTTGTGGAAGTTCAAAACTGCATTTAAAGTTTTATTGCCCTAGTATGTCTGTATGTATGTATGTGTGTGTTTTGCAAGAAGGGATTTTTATTTTAAGTCACTATCTTTCCTTTAATGGCTATATGTATATTTTGGCTATCTATTCATTAGTCTATTTTTTTCTGTGAATTCTTCCAGTTCATCAAGGTTTCAATAATATTCTAAGGCATTTGTTCTGTATATCTTCCTTATTATTAATCACTGCTCCATTTTTAGATACCATCTGCATTTCTAATTGAATTTACTCATATATTTTCTCTGTGTTCTTCATTAATCTTGCCATTGGTATTCCATTATTTCCTTTATTATTTTTTATTGATCTAACATTTAGCTCTCTGTATCTTCATAATTATACATATTTCATTATTTAACCATTTTGTTATTGGTTTTCTGTTTTTTCTTTGTATTTATTTTTCTTTTATTTTTCTAGTCATATATTTCAATAATTTTGATATCATCTTCTTTCCTGAATATGATAAAAGCTATTGATTTTCCTTTAAATAATAATTTAGCTTTTTTCACTTCTGTGAAAATAATTTTAGTAAGCTTTAATGATACAGTTCTAAATGTTTTCTAATTTCTTATATTTGTGAAATGTTTGACACCATTCCCTTTTAATTTTATCCTAATTAGACAGTCGTATTTTTGTTTTAAAAAGTCAGTCACCATTTCATTAAGTATTATCATCATTATCTTCATAATGATCTTCCATTATTCATCATCCTTTATCATGTTACACTCTTATGTCTTTAAATATTTAATTCATATTTTCCTTCTCCTTGTGTACCCTTGATGCATTTCATGTAAATTTTTCTAGATTTATAGTTATTACTTTTCTCTTCTTTAGTCTAAAAGACCATTTAACCAGTTATTGAGTCTTTAATTTCAAGTTGTAGATTTTTAATTTCTAGTAAGTCTTTTTTATTCCCATTTTTTTTTAAATAGTCTCTTAGTCCTTGCTTTTATTTTCAAACTTCTCTTTTTATTTCATAAAACATATTAAATATTCTCAGTTGCTAAGTCATGTTCAACTCTCTGTGACATGATGCACTGTAGCCTGCCAGGCTCTTTTGTCCACAGGATTTTTCCAGGCAAGAATACTGGAGTGGGTTGCCATTTCCTCCTCCAGGGGATCTTCCCAACCCAGGGATTGAGTCTGGGTCTCCTGCAGTGGCAGGAGGATTCTTACCATGAGCCACCAGGGAAGCCCATTAAATAAAATCATTTTATAATGTCATGTGCAATCCAATATCTGAAAACTTTTTGAGTAAGATTACGCTGTCTATTTCTACTAACTCACACTTACCGAATCTGTATTTTTGTGTTTTATGATACTTGATATTGAGCTGCTTCTTGAGACTCTGAGACAATTCGCTGATACCTAGATCGAATTTTCAGTCTTTCAAAAAAGAACATCTGTCTTTGTTCCTGAAGATGCCTAGTTTTACCACCAACCTACAGAACATTTAAATGACATTCTCCACTGCGTATTTTCAGATTCACAGACAGCAGGAGTATCAGTCCCAAATCCATTTAGATCAGTACATTAAGAATTTTTGGAATACTGTCTGCTTTTCTCCACTAACTAAGTGATACAAGCAATTTTATTATTCAACTGGAGCAACAGGTTTACTCATGATTCATGCTTAATGCTGGAATGGAGACCTTTGGACTCTCAGCTTCATGTAATGACTTCTAACCAGATTGTCATCTGGGTGAGACTCGGGCTTTATCCCAAGTATCCTGTACCAAATACATGGATCAAATGGGAACCAAAGGATATTAGGATTTCAGGGATTCACTCAAGGCTAAATTTGTCATTGATGCCTAATCTCCAAAAAAATCCCATTCCAAACTTAAATGTTGGTGGTAGTGCATTTCTTAATTTATTTAAAGCTTATCAGGGTCTTTTACCCAAGAATTTTTAAAAATTAAAATAAACGAACAAAACCTGGCAATTGAAAAAGGAAAAGTTTTGGTATCATTAGTTTCTTCTCAGATTCACTAGAGAAATCATAGTTGGAGATTTCAACACCCAACTCACAACAACTCAATAAACAACTACACAGAAAAATCAGAGAGAGAAGACTTAAACAGCACCACCAACCAATTAACACATTTATAGACACTTTACCAAACAACCGAATGTATATGAATTTTGAACAAACACAGAATATTATCCAAAATATTTAAAATGCTGGGTAATTTTTATTCTAAACAATTTTAATGTAACTAAAATGTTCCTAAATTAAATTAGAAATCAAAAGAAAAAAAGTTGGGGAAAATTGCAAAACATCCCTAAGTAATTGCAAATTAAACATCAATGTCTGAATAAATAATAGACCCAAAAAGAAACCACAAAAATAATTTTTAAAATATTTTATGTAATTAAAATAAGCTCAAAGCATATGAATATTTATGAAATCCAACTAATATAGTTCCTAAAAGTAACTTCAGTTCTTAAATGTCTACTCTAGAAAAAAAGAAAGGTATTGAACAAATAATCAAGGCTTCCACTTTATGAAGAGAAAAACAGTATGTTAAATTCCCAAAGAAAGCATGAGAAAGGAAATCAGAGAAGAAATCAATTATACCAAAGCTAAGAAATGATATGAGAAATTAAGCAAAAATTGACTTTTTAAATAAATCAACAAAACTGTTGTGCCTTTTGGTAAACCAAGATGGGAAGAAAAGAGAGCGAGAAAGTAAAAATTACCAAAATCAAGTATGAAAGATATGTCATCTCTACTGTTATTATAAATATCAAAATAGTTATAAGACAATATTAGGAACAAGATTAGGTAAGCAAATATGACAATTACAGTGAAATGGACAAATTATTTAGAAGGCTCAAATGATCAAAACTGACTCAAGAAGAAAGAGAAAAGAGACTCAAAACCAGTAAATAAATTAAATTGGCTATTAAAAGTATGTTGACAATTTTGGACTTAAATACACATGAATAGAAAACTCATTATCTGGATTCTGGGTAGAAAAATAATGACTTCAAAAAACTAAAACCCCAAATTTAAAACTTATAAAGATTTAGATATCAAACTCAAGCTAAGAAATTAGTAATGGTCTAATTCACTGGTCTAGAACCAGTATAACTTCAAGAATCCTAACAGAGGCAACAAAAGCAGCTGAAGTCTCACTGACTTCTATAGAAAATACAAACAGCTCAGTATCAAGAAGAGACATCGGAAGAAAGAACAGTAGCTTATTACCCTCTCCTTTGGATAAAGATAGCTTCTTGTCACACTCATTTGTGATTTAGACATGTTACTTAGAAGAATGTCACTAACAACAATATCATCTTTTTTTCTCTCAAAGGTGTTTTGGTTTAAATCATGGGTTATATAAGAATCCTAATGTCACCCATTTATAAAGCCTGTGAACCCTGAATTAAAATTGTTACCCTATGATAACATAGAAACGCTTCCAGACTCAGAAAGATCAGGTAGTCTGGTATGCTTGATAAATACCGCATTAGAAAATGAAAATTCCAAAACTTTTAGATTATTTAACACTTGATCACATGTCCCTCCTTCTATAATCTAAAAGATAGAGTTTTCCCTTTTAAACATGTGTTATCTACATGACTTCTGAAAATATCCTAGGTTTCTTTGCCTGCTAGAAGTTCCCAATGTGAATTTGCCATTGAATTCACAAAAGAAGATTCCTAAAATATCACTCAGAATTCTCTCATTTTCCTAGATTTAAATATGTAGCTGATGCCACCAACTGGCAATCACTTTAAATTTCTAGTAACTGAAATATTATAGTCATTACAGGAAATATGTGCAAAATGTTTGCATGCTCCTTGGGTACCATAAATTCAATGGAATTTCCAACAAATACCAAATGATAGCAGGTCCAGGTTTGTTCAGTGAAGTCCCAATTTATGTCTACAAACACAGCATTATCATTAATAGTATGTTTCAAATATACACTGGTTTGCATGCAATATAATATGGTCACTTTAAGCACAAGTAATTTTTTAATTCAGAGCTCAATTAATTATCCATGCCTCTCCAACAAAGTAAATGACAATATGAAAAATCCTGATTATTACCGTTCTGCACAGCTATTGGGATTTCTTGAAGTTTCCAGATTGACCAAGAATCAATTTGTGTGGTAATCCTTTTCTTTCTTGATTTTTGTCGTTGTAAAGCTTCTTCAGCTTCTGCCCGATCAGTCTCTAGACTTTTAATGAGATGGATGGCCTCTGATAGCAATGTTTCCATTTCCTGCTTTAATTCAGGACACTTTTCTTCTTGAAAGGGAAATATGTATTCACATTTGTTATAAATCAGCCTGTAAGCTGGATGGTAGTGGTGGGGGAGCTGGGGAACTAGTTGTATTGCTATCTTTTAATATTTACATATTTACCAAGAGAATTTTAGAAAAATGAATTAGCCTTGTAAAGAGAAGTTTCATTATAATACAATCATAACATTAATTATAACCTTTGAAGACAGATTTTGAAATGAATATTTTATAAGACAATCAAAATAACTAAATCCCAACCAATATCTTCACTCACAATATTTTTGAAAAAAAATTTTTGAAAAAACACATGTTCTATTCACAAGCTGTATTACAGAGCTTTATTTTGAAACTATGCTTCTGTTTCCTCCCACTCTATGGGAAAAGTGAACCATAATGATTACATCAGATAAATACTGAAAATCCTCAGATGGTTCTTGGGAACAAGACACTTTATATTCTTTATCTTATCAGATAATAACATCCCTAGCTAGCCTTGCCAGAAATTCATCATCATTTACAAATTCTATTTATTCAGTTATAATACAAATTAACTCCTTTATGAGAAACATTTGGGATTCCTGCTTCACAGCTCTGGAATGATAAGGTTTAATGTTAACAAAATGATTAATATGGGTATTCATTCATCTATTTATGCAAGAAATGGGTAGACAGCCTGTTACATTCTAGGCAATATTCTCTCTCCTTGGAGGTTGGTCAGTAAGAAAGATGGATATGACTCCCATTCTGGTGAGATTTATAATTGTAAACAGTGGCTTTTGCCAAAATGTGACATGACAAAAAGATATAAACAAACACAAAGTGTCAAAAAAGGCAAAGCCTCTAAAGAGCTGAGGCTGGAAGAAAAACAGTGAAACTGGATCAAGAAGAAAGGCAACTAACAGTAAACTTTGTTTTATTTTGTTTTCTTTTTCTTTTGGAAAATAAAGACATTAATTTTTTGCTGGAAAGTAGTAATACATAATGGTTATTAGTACAAGCTCACCACTTGCAGTTTTTATTTCTAACCTAGTGGCCTTGTTAAAGAAATTCAGCATATGCCTAAAAAGAATTCCCGAGAAACAGGTTTTTCTATTGTAATGCACAAAATTAACTTTTTCTAGCCTGGTCTTTTATTTGGGCTCTATTTATTTGGTCTATTGTCTTTATTTTTCAAATTCCAGAATATCTTAGACACTTTATCTTCTATAAATGGTCTGTTTTTTTGTTACAACATACACATTAAACACTGTTCTCCAATCAACATTCATTCAATTTCTATAACAGGGCTTCAGCTGGAAAGATATGATGGAGTTAATGCCACTTAAAATTAAAGCACTTCTGATTGGATATATATGTGTTTTACCAAAGGTGTCCATTACATTTGTGCAAGACGTCTTTTATACTGTTTCTACAATAGCAGTCTAAAACAAATGCTATGTGTATAATTTAAGGTGTCTCCAATTCTATTTAATACCTCTCTGGATTTTTTTCCAGAATACCATCTCAATTACTTTTACTGTTTCATAGTGAATAAGTGAGCAACCACTTGCATTTTTATTAGGGTGTGGGTGTGCTCAAGCATCTGAGCCATGTCCAACTTTTTGTAACCCTATGGAAAGACTCACCCTCCTCTGTCCATAGGTTTCTCCAGGCAAGAAAACTGGAGAGGGTTGCCATGCACTCCTCCAGGGGATCCTCCCCACCCAGGGATCAAACCCACATCTCCTGTATATCCCTGCCTTGAAGGTGGATTCATTACCTATTGAGCCACCTGGAAAGGCCCATTTTTATCAGTAGAAACAACGTTCAGTTCAGTTCAGTCGCTCAGTCGTGTCCGACTCTTTGCAAACAACGTAATTACAATAAATCTTCCTCATCCTGATACAGTCTTGTGTTTCAGAGTCAAATATACATGTTTATTGGAGAAGGAAATGGCAACCCACTACAGTATTCTTGCTTGTAGAATCCCGTGGACAGGGGAGCCTGGTGGGCTGCTGTACATGGGGTTGCACAGAGTCGGACACGACTGAAGCAACTTAGCATGCATTAGCATGCATATATGTTTATAATAAACATAATTGGAATTATTTTGTTTTTGTGACCTTTAATACATTGATATTTTCTCCTAGAATTTGTCATTGAAAAATTAAGAAATAATTGAATCAGATTTTCACTTTCATTATAAAAGGCAAATACAAAATATTCATGCTTTTACAGAGTCCTGAGTTTGTTAGTTATCCTTCACTAAAGGAAGGCATTTAACAAAGTTTTGTCACAAAAGTAGGAGGAAGTATTTAAAATAATGCCAAAGATATATTCAAATATGCTGAAATAATTTTAATACAAATTTTTATACCAGTATAAAATTATTATATATTTATATTTGGAAATTGTGACTAGAAGGTTAGTCTTCAAGGCTATGGTTTTTCCAGTAGTCATGTGATGTAAGAGTTGGACTATAAAGAAAGCTAAGTGCTGAAGAATTGATGCTTTTGGGCTGTGGTGTTGGAGAAGACTCTTGAGAGTCCCTTGGACTGCAAGGAGATCCAACCAGTCCATCCTAAAGGAGATCAGTCCTGGGTGCTCATAATNCTTTCAATTCTTCTGGTTTGGGCTCTTTCACTAGTGTAGCAACACTCAGATCTTTTTTCAGGTCTTCTGTGAAACAAGTTCTGTTCCTTTATAATGGAAAAGAAGCAATTAATTAATAAGGAAGGACTGTACTTACAGTTAGTCAAACAAATTTTAGGTGATGTTTTTACACTGAATTTTAAATGTCTATAGTGACACTTCCTATAAATGTTATTGGTACTATTTAAGAAATTAAAATAGCAAAATTCTAATTGGTAATGACATTTATACTTCATGGTAAATTAACAGTAATTTAAAATTTGTTAAAATGACTTGAAATTTTTTGAGAGATAGTAAAGCAGTATTTTTTTTAAATGATAGTCTCTTCTGAGAAAGTTGCTTTCAGGAAAAAAAAGACAACTTACTGAAAATAATTTGAGAGTTATTTCTCCAATTATAGTTTAGCAGTTTCTGGGAAGACAATACAAAATGTAAGGAGCAAAAAATATGATTTCATATTTGAAGTTAATAATGTTTTAGAAAAATATCCAAATTTTCTTTTCTGAAGAACTTTTCTAGTGAAAGTTCCATATATTGAATAATGAAACATTTCTCATCATCAGTATTATCTAGTCCAATTCTTGAATACTAGTCTAGTTTTAATTGTATTTATTTTATATTTATTCTATTGACTGTGCTACATCTTTATCACTGCACATGGGCTCAGTAGTTACATTTCCAAGCTCTAGAGCACAAGATCAGTAGTTGTGGCACATAGACTTTAGTTACTCCAGGGCAGGTGGGATCTTCCTGGATCAGGGATTGAGCCCAGGTCTCCTGCATTGGCAGGTGCATCCTTCACCACTGAGTCACCCGCCTAGCCCTTTTCAATGTGTATAAAAAGAAGTACACTTCCTCTGATAAAAGTCACAAGAAAATAACTAACACCAAAGCAGAATATTTCATTTTACCCATGTTGTAGCATGCATCAGAACTTCATTACTTTTTATAATTGAATAATATTCCATTGTACAGATACACCATTACTTATTAATCTATGAGTTCACTGAAGGATTTGACATTGTTTCCACCTTTTGGCTATTGTGAATACTGATGATAACAAACATTTATACAAAAGGTTTTGTGTGAACGCTGGTTTTGAAATCTTTTGTGTACATATATGAGTGGAATTGCTGGGTCATATGGTAATTCTAGGTTTAGCTTTTTGAGGAAACAGCAAACTTTTTCACAGTGGTTGGCCCAATTCTTCATTCCCAGTAGCATTGTATGAGGGTTCCAATGTTCAATAAAAGTGGCAAGATGGCCATCCTTGTTTTGTTCTTGATCTTAGATTATACAGTTAGGTTACTGGATTAGGTGTCTTTCCTTTAGTATAATCATTTATGGCTATGAATTTTCCTCTGGGCACTGCTTTTACTTCATCTCTTCAGTTGTGATACATAGTGTTTTGATTCTCATTCATTTCAAAGTACTTTTAATTACCTCCAGAGATTACAAATTGACTAACTGGTTTTTTATTGCATGCTGTCTAATTTAATATATATATATATTAAATATATTAATATATATGAATTTTCTAGGTTTTCTCCTCAGCTGATGAACATCTCTAGTTTTTCATCTCAGTTATTGTATCTTTTAGCTCCAAAATGTCTATATGGATCTTCCTTATAATTTCTTTTTCTTCATTGATATTCTATATTTGTTGAGACATTAATCTCCTGGTTCTGTTGTATTTTTGTCCACAGCTTATCTCTTTGAGGATATTTGAGACAGTTAATTTAAAGTCTTTGTCCCATAAGCACAATGTCATGCTTCCTCAGAGTATTTTCTTCGTTTGTTTTTCCCCTTAATAATGGAAGTAAATTTTCTTTTCTTCTTCCCCTGCCTCATAATTTTTGTAAAAACCTGGAAATTTTGAGTACTCTAATGTGATATGAAAATAAGATTACCATTCCTCTATTGTGTTTATTTTTGATGTTTGTTGTGGGTTGCTTTTGTTTGTTTAGTGATTCTCCCAAACACTTACTGTAATATTAATACCACTATATTAATATCATTCTTTTTCACTTGGGGTCACCAAAGTGTTTCTTAGCTTATTGGTGAACTTGAGTTTTGTCCAAGTTACCTTAAATACTTGAGGTCAGAAGAAAAAAGAAAAGAAAAAGGGAAATCTATATGCTTGCTCCCAACCTTAGCGGATTGGATCTTAGTTAGAGTACTTCTTTCATGCTTATTCAGGATGTTTATAACTTTGCCTCTACCTTCAATTCTTGCCTGTGTAGATCCTAAGGCTAGCCAGAGATAAAGGATTAAGTCTTCTTATTCTTTCCCGAGCATGTGTCCAACACTGTTCATATTTGTGCACTTTTAAATTCTCCAATATATATGAAAACTTTAAAAAATCTTATTCTCCCATTTATAATATCTCTTTCCCCAAACTTTTCATTCCCAGGCATTCTGGTCTTTTCAGTGCCTGTCCCAAATTATCCACAATCTCAGACACTGGTGACAAGTATATGACCTTAAATACTTTCAGCAAACACTGCCCAGAGGTGACTCCAGCGCTATAATTTCTCTAAGTCAGGAAAAACAGTCAATCTTTGTGTTAGTCCCTTTAGGGAGTCATCAGACTTAGCAAAACGCTGAATTATAATTCTTTGAGAATAAGATCTATATTGTTCCCTCTGGCACTAGCAATCTGCACAAGTTCAGGCTATTTGCTTCATGACCACCACTGATCTGAGGGTTGGAGGATGGCAAGTGGGCCTTTTCAAATGCCACAGCCCTTCCTTCAGGCAAGTCAGTTACTCTTTCTGCATTAACTTTTCCCCTTATTGTTGCAAGTTTTGGACTAGATTTCAGATTTCTGCAGAAGCTGACTCTGACAAATTTTTGCCAAAATTTATAGATGCTTTTATGGTAGGACAGAGCCCTGGAGATTCCTATTCTGTTATTTCCAGTGACATCCTGATTCTTACATTTTTAAAAATAAATATTAATATCTAACATAAAATTCTGCTCTCAGTATCTTTTTTCTTTAGAAACAAACTTATCTACAGCAGATTAATCATCAAAATTTGAACATAAAAATGTAAAAGAAGCATGAAATGTTCTTACCATTCTTCCAAAGAAGTTTCAAACTGTCAAAATAAAAGATGAAAATCAAAATTTTAACATCTCAAACCAATAATAGATTTAACTAACACCTTAACTCACCAACAAAATTATAAACACTCTACATTTTCCCGTTTGTTTCTGTCAAATTATGCTCTGTTGTTTCCACAAGTATATCCTTATCTTAGTTAGCCTTATTCTTTTATTATCACTCTCACCTAATTGTTCTCACCCTTCACCTGTTTCTAAACTTTACCTTTACCCTAACAGTCAGCTTAAATGCCATTTACTCCTAAAAGACTTTCCATACAATCAGAAGTAGATACTATCCATTAAATTTCAATATATTACCATAAAGTGGAAAATACATAACTATATGTTAAGTTTACAAATATTTAGATAATTCATAGAATTATCCCACTTCTGGACTATAAAATCCTTGGTAGGAGTTATGTTGTACAGATGTATTCTAACACTATCTTGGGCTATAAAAGGCACAAATTAACAAAAACACAATATATAGACAGAATCTTATGGATTTCATGGATAATACCCAATTCAACATTTTAAATCAGACATACATGATCACTTCTCAATTCCTATATCACACCAAAATTTTGGAGAAAAATATATAGGTACATTAGTAAGATCACTGGACAATACATTTGAGAATTCCCAGAAACAGAGTAATCAGATGAGACTGATGGTAAAAATGGAGCAAAGAAAAGTATAACTCAGAAGAGACCAGTGGAATTGAGGACATGGAAGCAACCTAGATATCCATCAACAGATGAATGGATAAAGAAGTTGTGGTACATATACACAATGGAATATTACTCAGCCATAAAAAGGGACATATTTGAATTAGTTCTAATGAGGTGGATGAATCTAGAGCCTAATATACAGAGTGAAGTAAGTCAGAAAGAGAAAAATAAGTATCACATATTAATGCATATATATGCAATCCAGAAAGATGGTACTAATGAACCTATTTGAAGGGCAGTAATGGAGATGCAGCCATAAAAAACAGACTACAAAGTCGGGAACCAGAGGAAGTGACAAATTGGAAGAGTAACACTGAAACATATACATTACCATATATAAAACAGATAGTCAGTGGGACTCTGCTCTGTCAAGTCAAACCCAGTGCTCTGTGACAACATCGAGGGGTGGGATGGAGTGGGAGGTGCGAGGGAGGTTCAAGAGAGAAGGGACTTATGTATATACCTATGGCTGATTCATGTTGATGTATGGCAGAAAGCAATAAAATATTAAGAGGCAATTATCCTCCAATTAAAAACAAATGAATATATTTTTTTTAAAAAGAAACAACAAGTGGAGACCATTTCAGGGAAGGGGAAAAGTTTCTGTGCGGAACACATGAGAAATCCCCAGCATGTGAGAATGAGCTGCTGATAACAAAAGTAAATGCTTCCCTGGTGGTGCACACGGTAAAGTGTCTGCCTGCAGTGTGGGAGACCTGAGTTTGATCCCTGGGTTGGGAAGATTCCCTGGAGAAGGAAATGGAAACCCACTCCAGTATTCTTTCCTGCAAATTCCATGGACAGAGGAGCCTGGTAGGCTACAGTCCATGGGGTGGCAAAGAGTCAGACATGACTGGATTTAGGAAAGGCAGAGGAACCAGAGATCAAATAGAAACATCCATTGGATCATAAAAAATGCAAGAGAGTTCCAGAAAATTATCTACTTCTGCTTTACTGACTATGCCAAAGCCATTGCTTGTGTGGACCACAACAAACTGGAAAATTCTTCAAGAGCTGGAAATACCAGACCACCTGACCTGCCTCCTGAGAAATCTGTATGCAGGTCAAAAAGCAATGGTTAGAGCTGGACACTAACAACAGACTGATGCTTAATCAGGACAGGAGTACTTCAAGGCTGTATATTGTCTTCCTACTTTTTAAACTTACATGCAGAGTATAGCATGAGAAATGCCAGGCTGGATGAAGCACAAGCTGGAATCAAGACTGCTGGGGGAAATATCAATAACCTCAGATATGCAGATGACACCACCCTTATGGCAGAAAGTGAAAAATTAAAGAGCCTCTTGTTGAACGTGAAAGAGGAGAGTGAAAATGTTGGCTTAATACTCAACACTCAGAAAACTAAGATCGTGGCATCTGGTCCCATCACTTCATGGCAGATAGATGTGGAAACAATGGAAAAAGTGATAGACTTTATTTTTGGGGGCTCCAAAATCACTGCAGATGGTGACTGCAGCCATGAAATTAAAAGACGCTTACTTCTTGGAGGAAAAGCTATGACCAACCTAGACACCATATTAAAAAGCAGAGGCATTATTTTGCCAACAAAGGTCCATCTAGTCAAAGCTATGGTTTTTCCGGTAGTCATGTATGGATGTGAGAGTTGGACTATGAAGAAAGCTGAGTGCCGAAGAATTGATGCTTTTGAACTGTGATGTTGGAGAAGACTCTTGAGAGTCCCTTGGACTGCAAGGAGATCCAACCAGTCCATCCTAAAGGAGATCAGTCCTGGGTGTTCATTGGAAGGA